AACTGTATGAGCCTATTTCTTATTGCAGAACATCCTGACTTGAAAACTTAGTTCAGCAACAAGAGCATTTCCTTGCCAAAAAACAAGTAAACCAACAACCTCCCCCCCCCCCAACTTCCTTATTTCATCCATTACGTAGGAAGAAGGTATTTTGCAATGGTTTAGGGCTGGTTTAAATAAGAAATGAGTGGGAAATGCATAAGTGGTGTTTTAAACTGTCAGGAGTGTCTTAACTGTGAGACCGGGGAAATATCTTGTGGATATCTTGGTGATAAAACAACTGCAGAAGAAAGAAAACCTACTTCCTTCAGTCAATGTTTATGAATGTGGTCATAAGGAAGACTGTGGCCTTGATATTTCACGGTGAAGGGATAAAAAGCTAAACAGTGATACTGTGTTAATGACTGTGAATACTAAGCCTGCTTCATGATCGTTCTGTACTCATTCATCTGAAGGAAACGTTCAGTGTGAATATATGTTCGTAGTTTCAGAGATCCCAGCGAGAGGAAATCTGTATGTCAGCATGAAAACAAAGGCTCACAAAACACACCTTCTTTCTTTAGATCAGCCGATGCAGCTGCCAGTGGTCCCTTGGCACCATCAATACCGTCAGTCAGGTGGATCACCACCTGGGGAAGAAGAGCTTGATGTTAATAAATATCAGTTGTGAAATGCTCCTCAGTGAAAAACCTCTCCATAAGATCAGCCAGATACTGGGTTGATATTCAGGAACTGCCTGAGGCCGAAGACTTTTAGAGGTAGGCAATTAACACTTACACACTGTTGACACAATTACTTTTCCTGCAAGGCAACCCATATTCCTCATCCAACTAAGCCCAGCCCTTTAAATACACTTGCTGCAAAATTATAATGCTGTGTATGCTTTCATACATCCCTCCCCTTTGTAATTCCAGCTGGTCAGTTCAGCTGGCCAGGCCCAGCAGGCGTGATTCCTCAAAGTCACAGGCCATGCGCAACGGTGTAGCCTAGATATTCATTTCACTTTCACTATTCCTGCAGGATGCACACATATGCTGATATAATCACACAGCATTTCATTTTGGGGGTCTGTAGAATAGTATTTTGATGCAGCAAAAGATTATGATATAGTCATTCTAATCTGGATTTCCTCTGTTTTGAATTTGAGGCAGACGGGAAATATTATTGCAAAGAATCAATAATGAAATATTTGAAAGAACCTTTTTAAAGCACATACAGTACACTTTTGTTTGACACTGTCCTTCTGTTGCAGTAGTTTAGCTTTCTGTTTGACTTCATAATTATAAACTAAAAACCACTCCTTTTCCATTATACAGCAGCCCACAGTCTGAGGATTTTCTTTTCCAAAAACAAAAATGGAATCAACATTTACCTTTGTACTTCCAGTAGGAGCTGTTTGAAATTTTTTCTGGTAAGACTTGAGAGTGTCTGCAGTGAGCACATATGGTCCATCATTTCGCAAGGCCTGGAACTTTTCAAACAACTCCGGCTGATACTCTGAAAAATCAAAGGCTTCCACAGCTCCAGAGGAAGTCTGTGCCAGAAGTGCCACACGCACTGTAGGTGCCTGGTTGGGGGTGCAGCTAATTTTCTGTATTTGACTAATCCTGTTCAGAATATCTTCAACTGTTGACTCCAGCACTGTTTGTACACTGAATATGTTTTGCCCCGGTACTGTATCTGAGACATCAAATCCAAGTATAACATCCAGATTGCAATCTAAAATAGACAAAAATTGTAAATCCATCATACATAAAATGAACGGAAAGTGGTACTCTATCTAGAGAAATGATTGTTGAATTCTACTGCATAGAAATGTATCTGAAAGTCACTTGTGGATCACTAGTTAAGAATTGCTGCTCTGTTTGCATTGTTCTTTGATGTCCAGCAGTTCATCACTTGATCCAACATCCAACTAAAGCATCACACTATGATCAGCTTTCCATGAAAAACTGGACAGTCTGCCCCTGCTGTAATACTCTCTCCCAAACCTGTACCACCACTGAACTTCAAGTGGTATCTCAATGAATAGCCACACTTAAGATTGGAGTACGCAGCATATTTGCTATTATGAAATTCAATACTGAAATAAGGGAAACAAAAACAAAGGATTGCTGCATATAGAAATTACAGTATTGTGCAGATCTTTAAATTGGGAACAAAGCAAAAAACAGAAACAGAAATTGAACTGGGATTTTGCTTACCTCTGGAGACTTCCACCACACCACGGCATAGCTGTTCTCTCATGACATCATTCAGGGTCACCAGGACCGCTTCATTGAGCTCGGAGAGGACCTGTGGGTTTGCAGCCCTAAAAGCTGTAGTGCTGTCAGTGGACAGCTTTGTAATTTCATCCAGGTCAATGTTTTTCACGCCAACTGCAAACACCTTGACGCCTGCCTGGGATAGCCCTAAGACTGCTGACTCCCCATCATCTTCTGGCTTGCCTGCTGTTATAATGACCGCAATCTGAGGGACGTTCTGGTCTTTCCTGCTGCCGGCCTCCTTCACGAAATGTTTTGCTTGGATGTGCTTGATACCTGCTCCAGTGTTGGCAATTCTGCCTCCTTTGTACAGAACTTTCTTCACTGCATCTAAGATGTGTTCTTTGTCAGAGAAATCCTTCAGAAAGAATTCATCGCTCACATCAGAGTTGTATTGCACTAAGCCAACTTGAATAGAATCACCTTCCTCATAAATAGCATCGATTAAGCCATGTATAAATTCAACAACTGTAGGGAAATTGTCTCTCCCAAAATTGATGGAGCTATCCAGCAAGAAGACAATATCACCTTGTTTTTTACCAACTAAAAGATTTAAAAGAAAAAAAAAGCAGGTATTAAACACTTCGTTTTAGGGCACTTTTGCCTTAATCAGTATGACTAGAAATCTGCATGATTTCTGGATTCACAAACCCATCAGATATAACCTCTTGCATCAGCTCTAGTCATTTCCATTGAGAGCACTCAACATTTACTTATCAAACAGCACTTTTGCAGTTCATAGCACTTTTCGTCACCCTCAGCTTTGGATCCCTTATTGGTGAATACGCTAAAACTCTTCCCCCAGGCACCATGTATCTGCACTAGGAAGAAAAAAAGAACATAGCAACCTCCTAGACTGTAAAAGTGTCTTGAATCCCATATGTAAGATGTTATGTCAAGATAATCAAGTACATATTTTAAACATAAATTCAGAGAAAGAAAAAATGTAATAAGCTACTGTAGTTCAGATTCTGGCAAAGAAAAGGAAAAGAGCAATGTAGAGAAATGCCTCTTCCCCCACCTAGAATATGCCAAGTAATTTACAAATAAAGGAGAACTTTCTAAATCTTCTTCTGGACCTGGAATCCATGTTCCATTTAAGGCAGCAGATCAAGTCCAGTTCTGAGGAAGCAAGCCTGTACCCATAAATGGTACAGAAAGGAGAAGTAGGAGGAAGAGTGGAGTGGAGTGGGTTTGGGATTGTGGGGAAAAGGGTGATTTTCCCCCCACTCTTGTCCAGTGGAATGGCTGTCTGTTGTCACATTGTTAATAAATGAATGGCCCTGTTTTTATTTTAATAGTTAGATTTACTTTCTGAAAAAATCCTTCCTTAAAAACTGTTGAATCTAAATAAACCAGCCCAATCCACCTTCCCAAGTACATGGATTTCTCCACAAGAAATTGAAATATAACAAGGGATTAAACTGGTTTATAGCCAAGGGACAGATCCACACTTTCTGCTTGGCTCATCACCAATGCAGGTCACTCATATCTTCCTAAATGCAGAAATAGATGATGTCCTCCTTCTCCCACTCCTAGCCAAGTGCAAATGCACCCCACACCTATGTTTTCCAGTTTCAGTTCAAAGCTATTTTTTCCTAACCGAAGCAGTCTTAAGCTCTTCAGAGCAGATGATCTCTGGCACTTTATTCCATTCTAGTAGCAGGGCCCCTCCCCTCCAGTGGTTGGTCACTGCCCTGGGCAGCCATTTCAGCTTGAATTGTGGGACTGATCTGTTCTCCACTTTTTTCATGATCTTGCAGCTGATCCGACAGTGACCCATCCAGTCAATGAACTATCCTCACCTCTCAAAGCTGATGTTCCATTCAACCCATGTACCTTTTTGGCTTCTGCCCAGGCTGGGTAAAGCATGCTCCCCTTACTCTTCCATCCTCTGCCCACAGTACTGCAAAGCTTCCCTTCCCCCTTCCTTTGCCTTTATTATTTTTTTAACATCTTTAATTTTTTTAAACACCTTTAATCTTTAAAAATTGCTTCTTTGTTTCTATGAAGCTGAACTATCAGTTCTTCCTTGCTAACAAAGTTTGCATGGATCTACAAAGGGACATAGGAACAAAAGAACAACTTGCTCCCTATTGCTTTAATTATTGTAGCCTTGGGGTTATAATGATACCATAAGAGGGAAAAAGAAAAAGAAAGGGGTTTGTTTTGGAGACAGAGGAAATAATATGGGAAGCAGGGATGAAGGAAGGAGTCCATGGGTGCAAAAATCTGGGAAAGCAAAGGAAAGTCACAGAGTCTCATGAGGAAGAAACTATCCCAAAAAGGAAAAGGCAGGCACCAGTTTGCTTTCCCAGTATGCATGAGAAGGGCCAGAAGCAGGGGTGTGGCCAATCAGGACATATAAGTAGCCAAAGTCCAGACTGAGAACCATCCTGGTCCTGTTGCCAAGTCACTGCAGTTTGGACTGGAAATTCTGAAGTTGGTTTAAGAATCACCCAGGAGCAGCACTGGGGACAAGCAACTTAGGTTGCAGGGCAGAATTGCCCAAGGGGTCCAGATTTGTTGATGAAGTAAGCAGCTCCATTCTACCATGTCTACTTAAAAGCAAGTTCTAAATTGAACCCCTAATTAAACATGCAGAAGAATACAATGTGAAAACTGTATTGATCTTTGAATGTTAGAAAGAAATCTGAGTGCTGAATTTTTAACTAAGTTTTTTCCTGCAACAGTTCCTGTTGCTACAGAAGCAAACTATTTTATTCTGTATAAAACAGTGTGATGACTTCAGCTGTAGGTACTACTGGAGTGAAAAGAGAAAGCAATTTTCCTTTTCATACACCTATTTCTTTAGATCCCCTGAATATATATACTAATTCCTATGACTCCATCCCCACATTTTTATTTTAAAATGAAAGACTGACCAATAGAAACATCAGGTGGTATTTCGGTTGGCTCTTGTGGTGCCTCAAATGATGCAAAGAACCGTTTTTCTATTGCTGGGAGCTCAGTAAACTCTCTCACAATAAATGCTGTTTTGGGATTGTTGGTGATCCTTTGCAATTCTGCACTGTCTACTTGTCTTGTTCCAACTCCCAGTGTATTAATCCCAGAGTTCTGCACCACAAGAGAAGGTCTACTGATGTCATCCTGGGATTTCCCTCCAAGCAAGAGGACTAAATGCTGTGGGACTCCATCTTCTCGCCTACTCCCTGCTGATCTGATAAAGAGGGTCTTCATGACGTGGTCCAGAGCTTTCCCAACATTCAGGGGAGAACCTCCTTTGTGCCTTAAGCGCCGTATGGCTTGTAGCACAGTCTCTTTGGTTGAGTAGGCTTTTAAGTCGAATTCAGGGAACACTTCATCGCTAAATTGGACAACAGCGATTCTCACTCTGTTTGGTCGGACATCTAATTGCTGGACAATCCGGAAAATGAAATCCCGAATGTGAGCAAGCCCATCTGGTCTGACATCATCAGAGCTGTCGATAAGGAAGACAATGTCCTTTGCTTCACTGTCAATTTCTACAATGGGGAGGAGGAGAATGGGAAAACAGAATGAGACTGGCTTTTTTCTTACAGAAAGGAGTACACATTTGGTATACATACAAGTTCAACCCTTAGCTGGCCCCTGTCCTGAGTGAAGAGAAGCTGGAAAATTTAGAAGCCCAGTCAACTGGAAGGCAGGGATGGTCCGAAAGGACCAGTGGTCTGAGGTAGTATGAGGACAACTTTGGACAGTAAACTGGTTTCAGAGTTACAGGAGATTATTTCCTCTGGGGAGTATTGATTCCTTTATTTATTCCAGTATGAAAGTGAATTTTATCCAAGGGCCAAATGATGTGAGAAAATATGCAGATGTTATGAAAATACAAAATGTGTATGTTTGTTGGGGCATGAAAAATGGTACAGAAACAGAATTTATACTTTGTCTTCCTGTTTTTTTAGTCAAAAACCCTTCTTACAACATTATTTTTGTGCTTTGGATCCCTGAAAATGTGGCAACCCCACCTCCCAGGTGGGGTGGTTGTTTTCTTGGTCCCAGTACTGAAATATAACTCTGTTTAGCATGGTTTGGCCTAGAGAAAAACTACAGCTCTATCTTGCCAAGTGCTGAGAATGATGCAACTCTGTGCTGGTCACTGCAGCAAGGAAGCAGGAAAGATGGCCCTGGTAGAAAGAAGGGGTGATAGCAAGGCAGAGGTTGGGCCAATGTTACCACACGGCCAACCCCACAAATCACCTTACCTGGAGGGCGACTTGTATCAGCAATGAGTTTTCGTATCTGCTGTGTAGTTAGTGTTCTAAGAGGAGATAACAATTTCTGTTCCAGACTAGGTAAGTCTTGGTAAGTTGACACTTGAAACACATAATCAGGACTAAGTGCTATTTTGGTAATTTCCTCAGGCTCCACATTCTTTCCAATAGGAAGCGGCGCCACACCGATCTGTTTGATCAGATGTACCGGCTTCTCTGTATCATCATGAGGTTGGTGGGAATAAAGAATGATTAAAAACTGAGGTGCTCCTTCCTCTATGCGGCTTCCAGAAGGCCTTGTAAAGATATTCTTTGAGGCATATTCTAGGGCAGAACCAAGGTTCACTTGCCTCCCACCCTTGGGACTTAGTCTCCTCACTGCAGCTTGTACTTCCTGCTTGGTAGAATGTGCATTCAGCAAAAATTCAACTTTGGGATTATCACTGAATTGAATTACAGCTACTCGAGTAGCATCTGAACCCACGTTCATATTATTTACAAGCCGTTCAATAAATTCACGAATCGAAGGGAACTCAGGAATTGCAAACTGAGAGCCGTCAATAAGGAAAACAACATCTTTCTTCATATCTCCTATAGAACCAAGAATGATATTGGATAGCAGTCAAAATTATACTAGTAAATAAAATTCGACACATTTAAAGGAATAAATTAGCTAATATTAACAGCCACACAGTACTGAACATTATTAAAAAGCTAAAGAAAATAAACTCTGCAAGCTTGATTAGAAAATAGTGTTTCTAACCACTTTAGCCCAGATTTTAGTAAAAGAAAAATACTGCTGCCTATTCAAAAGAAAAGGATCCATTATAGATTTTTTTCAGGTATTACATTAAATTGACAAATAATGCTTTCATTTATAGATTTTATTTATTTCGTTTCTACTGCACATTTCTTCCATAAAACTCTTAGGGAGATACCCAGGGGGTTTCCATACAAGTACGTGCTATCTGCTTTACTAAGCTGTACAATTGTTGAGTCATGTAATGTACAGTATGTTTATTATAATTGTATGCATGTAAGGCATTACTCCATTTCCAGAGCCTTTGTATCATAGAAACAAAAATGTTAATTGAATAAAATATGAAAAGAACTCTTTAAGTGATGGCTTGTACCTTACACATCTGGAAATTCTAATCTATATTTAGGACAATAAATAATGGTTTACTATGATGTGCAACCCCAGTTAGCCTAGAACCCCTCTGAACTGGAATAACACATAGTATCAGCCATTCGACTGCTACATCCAGGATATCATCATATCCTATATGCAGGAGACTATCATCACTATCAAGGAGAGTTGCCTACTTTTCTGTGTCAATCTGCATGGGAAGTCAGGGTCATAATTGCTAACAAGAGTTATAACAGGAGTTATATCCATGCAATAAACTTTGTATCAATAAATGCATGCAGGCATGCCTTATCCCCTGTACAAGAAATATCTACAAAAAAAGAGAAAAAAATGTAACCTAGGAATGTAACCTAGACTTATTTAGTTACTCAATGGTTTGATTACTCAATGGTTACTCAACATTGTCTGCCCCATTTATGGCCAGCGAAATAGTGGGAAAACGTTTCAGCAAATTTCTCCAGGAACAGAAGAAACTATCCAATATTTTTTGGATGGGGTTCATTGCTAGCAATTGAAGTAGTATAATTCTTTCCTCCGTCCCTCCCTCCAACTCTCTTCTTTCTTTCTGTTTCCACTGCATGTGGCAAGAGCAACAGTTGGGTGGCCACCTGGTTGCCAGTTTCATTTTTCATAATGACCAGGGACTGTCATCATTTGGGGGCATTAGGGGAGGAAATGGTGGTTGCTGTAAAAAAGGAAAAATCTTCAGTGGCCTTAAGTGGCCATAAAGGGGAGGTGGGGGGCATATGAGAAAAATACAATCTCAGGAATGTTCATAAATATGTCTTCTGGCTCTACTAATTATAAGGTTGTGAAAATGTGATCAGTCTCATCCAGAACTCTGAAGATAGCAGGCTGTTGAAGATAATGCCTACTGAAAAGTAGCAGCCCATTCATTTTGGCTGGCCCATGTTCAGCATTTGCTTTATTATAAACAGCAAATTATAGTATAATAATAAATTTCTTTCACCTGAGCCAGGTGGTGGAAAAATCAATTCAGGGGCCAAAGCTTCTATTTCTGCCCTGGTCAGTTGGGTGACTCTTTCTGAAATGAGTTGCTGTAAGGTATTCAGTTCACTAATACCAGAAACAAGGACTGCAAATTCAGGAACAAAAGAAATTGTCTACAGCTTAGTGATATCTGCATTTTCAATGCCAGTGCCCAAAGGTACAACACCCCTTATCTTCAGTTCCAAGGAAGGTTTTCTGACATCATCTCTTGATTTTTCAGCTGTCAGTAAAATCTAGAACCGTGGGACACCTTCAGGTATCCTGCTTCCAGCTGGGCTCAGGAACACATTCCTAATAAGGTAGCCCCTGTGTTAAGTGAAGAGCCTCTGGATGACTTTGATCACCTCAACCTTTTCAGAGTATTCATTCAGAAGGAACTCCAGGTTGATAGTATCACTGTGCTGGGCTGCAGCAACCTGGACTTTATCAGGACCTATATCCAGACTATCAGCAATTCTTTGTACAAAGGCCTTCAACTCTGGGAAACTACTTCTGATGCCATCTGAGCCATCTATCAGAAACACAACATCCTTCTTCTGCACTTCATTAACTGAAAAATGCACAGATTCAGGAGGAAAAAAGATGAGATTTGTGTTCACACCAATCATTTCTTAGGATGTGTTCATTTTTGTCTTTTAATCTTTTAATTTAGTAGAACTTTGTGTGTTCTACTAACATAGTTTTTTAAAAAAGGGAAAGTAATGTAAGGAAATGCATCAGTAAGGGAACAATGACACAAAACCTCAAAGATGTTCATTACAGAATTTGCTGATAGGTCATATAGAGAGTTTCTCTGAGGAGTCTTCTGCTCAGGAGTGACCTGAAGAAGTCACTCGACTTGAAACACATTGAATCCTTCATCACAACTGATTCTTGGCATTTTCAAATTTTCTTTCCTCAGCTTTCTACCTGCATAGTCACTTCCCAGTGACTATGCTCTGGATTGCTGCTTTCCTGATGCCATCTGCAGCAGGATCACAAGGAGGGTAGAGGTAACTTCCACCCTGGCATACTTCCTGAGGAATGTTGCTTTTCCATTACTAGTGTCAGAGTGAAGCAGCTTATTTACAAAGAATCCTTGGGAGAGATGCCAATGAGATTCACTTCCCCCAAGTGATCTTGAAGGGAAATGCATTTCCGCAGCCCTGACAAATGAATCAACACTTGATATAAGTTTCAGGGCTTAAAAATCTTGCTCTAGAATTGCTCTGACAGACCTCATTCACATTGGTTTTCCCTTCTTGCACATATTTATAACTGGGCTTTTTCTGTTACACTGTGAAGCCCTGATTGAATCTTCTGTTACTATTTAGAGTAAGGATTGTTAGGGGTTTCATTGATAATACATTCCTATAGCAAAACGTGCCCCTGGAAATTTCTCAGAATAAAATTCCTAAGGGGAGAACTAGTTAGCTTTCCCCATTCCAAGTTTGTTGATCATGAAAGATGGTCCTGAACTTCATTCTAAATTTGGGTTCAGCTCACAATGGGATGTCAGTTTTCAGCTGAAGAATTTGTTTGCAAATTTCCCAAAGTGTATTGATTTTAGAATTATATTTGATTGTAATTGCCTATGTGTGATCTTTTCACTGGTTTTAGTAGGCTGCAGAAAATTAGACCTTTCATATCGCTGAAAGTCTGTTTGATTGCAGTGGGGTACAAACCCAATCAATCAATCAATCAATCAGTCAATCTGAATGTTTCAAAAATAAAGAACATCAAGTGATAAATAAAAATAAAGATATATACCTGGATGTTTAAGTTGTATGGTTTTCAACAAATTGACTATTTCAGGTTGTATGTCTCCAATTCTAGAAAGGGTATCAACCTTTAGAATGAACTGAGGGGCATAAACTATCCTTTCTAATTCAGCCGGATCTGAGGTCTTGGATTGGATAACAAAAGTAACCACACCAGCTTGTTTCAGGGCATCAGCATGTTCATCCACAGTGTCATCTGATCTCCCAGCAACAAGAAGGACCAGGAACTGTGGGACGCCTTCTTCAATCCTGCTCCCAGCATGTCTCACAAAGATGTCTTTTTTGGCATAATCTAGTGCAGCTCCAATGTTCAGTAGCCTTCCTCCTTTTATCCTCATCCTTCTTACTTTCTGAAGGATCTCTGTCTTGGATGGGATGTCAAAGTTGAACTCCACTTGCACATTGTCACTAAATTGGGCTAGAGCTACTCGTACAGCATCCGGCCCCACATTCAGGTCAGAAATAATTTGGAGTACAAACTCTCGAACAGCAGGAAACTGGCCAGCAAGATTCACTGAGCCATCAATCAAAAATAAGATATCAATCTTGTTTTCTGGAATGAAGTTAGGTGAAAAAATTTAGTATGTATCATTTTATTACAGAATTTCTGTAAATATAAGTGACAAGAAATCCAAACCATGTTTGTTAGTAAGAAAAATAATTTGACCGAGGGGGCCTCTTTGGCATCTTTGATTAAACTACAAGCTTCCACAGTAGAAGAAAAGAATGGTGATGGTATCAGAGGGAATTGTGGAATCATTGAGTCATTTTGAACAGGTCTAGAACTTTCAGGGAAATGAACTACTGGCTCTTTGAATGGATTATGCATATTACAATTTTGGTGATGCTTATGATATAGGAACACACATCATTCCACCACCTATCCAATGTTTAAATTAGCCCCTTGACTTATAGCCTGTTTTCTTTTTATTAAGGAGGAGATAATATAAAGAGTTGGGACTTTTATCACTTTAAGCCTCAGAAGAGGGAAAGAGGTTCTTCTCACAGTATTACATTGATAAGAAAAACAAATGCCTATTGTATATAAATATACTTTGCAGCCCTTAATAAAGACCAAATACATCTGGTCATTACCTATCTTTTCCTAATGTATTTTAAGGAGTAGGGTTTCCAGATACCTGTACTTCCAAGAACTGATTCATACGTGCACATAATTCCCTTGACAGTAACATCAACTGGTAAGTTTGCATTTGAAAATGAGGCATCACCACTATATCATACTGAGCTCTATCTTCATTTTGCAAAAGTTTACCTCCTGCAAAAACGTAATTGTTTTTTGGCTCTTTCACAGACAGTGGAAGAACCACATAACATTTCACACTGGAACAGGGGGAACCATATTTATTTTTAAGGGCATGATGTGAGATCTCTCCCCCCCACCCATTAATATTTAAAATACCCTGAATGCACTTCCAGCAGTGCAGGACTCTTATACAAACTTTTACTTCAGCAATACTTCTTTAATCATTTGTATGTCCACATAATGTCACATGGTTAAAAAACTTGTAAAAATCCAGAAGTGCTGAATGGCAAGAAGCCTATGTGTGAAGAAACCTACAAGTATGATCTTCCTGAAATACTGACAAGAAATGGAAAGACTATTGGCATTCCCATATTTACCATTTAAACTGCTCCCATCACTTGCTCAAAAGATTTGATTCTAAGTTGGCTTAAGAACATAATGTCTGGACTAAGACACTTTGACAATGGCATGCAAGATATTCAGTCTAGACAACAGGCTACTATGTTCTCCCACTGGACAATTCTCCTGCTGCTGGGCATTCCCACCTCACTGTTCTCGGAAAGAGTGGTCATCACTCTCCTTCTTATGGGCCACACTTCCAGATATTTATACTTTTATATATGTGTGTATGTGTATAATAACAATAATCAAAATTATATGATACTGGTCCAGTGGGTGGTGTAGGTTAGTAGAAAGATGTTTTCAATTTCCTGGTCTACAGTTGAAAGAGAGGGACTGGCCCAAAGTCACCTAAGGGTGGAGTAGAACCTGGCTCTCCCACTCCTGGTTCAGCACCTTAATCACTAAAACTACCACTAGCGGTTAATATAACATGTAAAATATAAAATGTAAGATATAATAAGATATAATTAATATCTTAACAATATTCATAAAATTAGTATGTTGCTCAAAACATATCTACATGATAAAAGAAAAATCAATGTAATATGAAAAAACAAATTACCTGTTGATGTGATTGTAACGTCTTCCTCATCTCCACTAACATATGTTGTTAGTGGACTAATCATTTCCTGTGGTAAAGCTGCCAGAGAGCTGAATTCATCCTTAAAATATACTATTTGTGGATTAAATGCAATCTGCTGAAGTTCTGCCAGTTTGGCATTCCTAACCCCAACACAGAATGTCAGCACTCTTGCACGAGCTAAGGCATTGGCAGCCTCTTGGAAGGCATCAGCAGATGGCCCTGCTGCAAGGAAGACTAGCACTTGTGGGACATTCTCATCTATCCTGCTCCCACCTGCTTCAGTGAAGTGGTTGGAAAGGACAAAGTCTAATGCAGCTCCTGTATTCAGTATTGACCCCCCTTGCAGTCTCAACTGCCTCAGACGAGAAAGGACATCTGACTTGGTTAGGAATGTGTTTAAAAAGAATTCTGTTTTGGGGTTCTCACTAAATTGCACTATGCCAATTCGTACATCATCAATTCCAACATCAAGGGAATTAATTAGGTTCACAAGAAAGTCACGGACAAATGGGAAGTTGGTATTTCCAACGTTGATTGATCCATCCAAAAGAAAGACGATATCTCTTTTGTTTACTGCAGTAGAGCACAGAAAATAACATGAGACATCATAGAAAAACACACCAGTATTGGTCATGTGCGCATTTGGCAAATGCTATACACACATGTATACCTCATTCAAGAGACAACAGGACTGGACAGGACAGGACAGGACAGCCATGAAGAGAAGAAAAGAAGAACCAAGAGGAGTGTCAAGAACCCTTCTACCACACAATCAGTCAAAACATGCCCAACTACATTTTAAGCCTTTTGTGATACTTTCCAGAATCCCATTTACAGGTAATGTGTGCTGCCTATGTGTCTCTGTGTAAGGATATCTGATATTAAGATTCTATTCAGCTGAACTCAGTGGATAATGCAATTGGGCTGAAATATCTTCCAAAGACTCTTCCCAGAGGCATATTGACCTATCATTTTATATGAACAATTGGAAAGCCTTGACATGTAAGTTGGCAACATGGTACCTATGGGTTTCCTTGCCCTCATGGACATTGCTCTTGGCATCCAGCTCCATCTGAGTTTAGACTTTCTTTTAGGATTCCTTAGATCAATCAATGTGAAATTGGCATGTGGTGGTGTCATATTTATTTACAGGAATACTTCTGGGCCTCTTAAAAAACTCATAGGCATTCTTAAATTAATGCTTTAGTTGGGAGTATGCATACTGGCCCAGAAAAAAAAAAATACACAGGTCAGTTGGAAGAACATTAACCTATAAAGGAGGGGTGGTGGACTGACAGGAACAAATCTCACCAATTTGCCTTATTCTTCATTGATACCTTGTAACCGGCCACCCTTGGCTTGGCAGCTCTTTTATGTATAGGCAAGCCATGATAACCTCACGTGGCTTTCCCTTCTGCCTATTCCTTTCCTCAGTGTTTTACACTCGTTGTACTGCTTTTAATCCAAAGTTGTCAACACACATCTAACACATACTAGTTAATCCGATTTTGCATATGTCAGAGAGGGCCACATCCACATCAGCAAAGAATATAGCAGATCTGAGTTCTTCAGGACTGGGTGCTCTGCTTTGATCACTTAATGTGTCAAAGGGCCGAATTTCCTGCCATGAACTGGGTCCATTCTAGCTCTTTACCAGCGGAAAAGTTGAATTTTATCTAGAAATGTTTAGATCCCAAGTGTGCCTATAACTATATTGCTAGGCATGGGCCTTAGCACAGAAAGTCAAAGAACACAATCTGCAATTAATCCAGTTTTGACAGATTAGTTTTACATGAGATACAGAGAATTCCGTACACTGTATTCTTTGCGCTGGTCACCTTCCTCAAGACAACAGCAACTCCAGGAATGTCTACACATATGAAGACCTTGCCAGAAATGATTAGAAATGCTAACAAAGGAGAAAGTGAAATCTTCTGCTGCCCATTGTCAAGCGTTCCCCATCAGCATCTATTGTTTCCCTATACAACACCACACAAACTGTTGAACACCTTTTCCCAATGCATTGAAGAAGCTTTAGAGATTGCAGGGGAGAAAAGATTGGTTTCCACACAGAATTGGATATAACCTGATAACAGTTAGAAATGCACAGTTCTTAAGGTAGAAAAGGAGGAATGTACATCCATATATAGTATTTGCAAGGAGAAAAAGGGAGAGGGAGGGAAATGTATGGATCTTTACAAATAAAGCAACATTTAAGAGCATATTTAATTTCAATTCTAAAATAAAAACGTCACCAGTGATATGTACCATGCAAGAAAATATTAGTAAGAAATGTACAATTTGAAAAAGCTTTAAGTTGCAGATATTACCATATTCTAATTAAGGGTAATTAAGTGAGATTTTGAAAGTTAGCACCTTAATGATGATGTACTGTAGCTCCAAAATGATTATAAAAATTCAACATTATTGGAGGGGCCATTTAGGAAGATAACATTTTGTGATTCTAATGAGTTTTTCTATCTTCCTCAGGAGGTGAAAGTATGACAAGATTAGACCAAAGAGGTACAACACTACAGAAGAGGTAGGTGACAGAGAAGAAAGTAGATCGACCATCTCAAGGATTAAACTTCCTATTAAAAAATCTCTTAAAGTTAGATTAAGGATTATAGAATCTTGAATTAACCTATCACTACCTAATTATAACATTGCTGGGAAGGAAAAAAGCATTTCTGTTAATTTGGAGGAGGATGTTCAAGTCTTTAGAAAAAATAATAATGAATCTATATATCTCTCTACTAATGTCTTATGAATATTAATAAAAACTAACAGCTGTAAATGTACTAATTAATCACTGAATAATTAGATATTATGGCAACTGAGTAAGGAAGACCTGATTCCAGTTAGCTCAATTTAACAGAAATATCACAGTGATCAAATTAATAAATAAACTTTGAATCTGCCATTTTTACATTTCAGGCAAAAGAAATATATGGAAAAATATATCTAACTTAATGTATTCAAATGTTAGCTGCAATGTACATAATATCTTCTGTACCAAACGGAAGATATTAATTGTCAAATTATATAGTTAAGTATGAACAATAAAAAACATATCCAGAAGTAACTTCAAACAATGAATAGACTCTATAGGTAGTCCTCATTTAGCGACTGCCTTGTACAGCGACTGTTTGCAGTTATGAAATGATGAAAAAGTAACTTTGCAACCAATCCTTGCATTTACAACGTTCACAGTTCTATAAAGCAAAGGAAAGCTGAAGGAAGATCATAAGCACAGTCGCAGTTTCACTGAGCCACCGCTTCATTTAATGACTGAGTTGTCAGTGCCAATTGTGGTCTAAAAGAGGACTACCTGTATGTACCAGCTAGTGGCAGGTATCAAACAGCAATAGAAGGATTTGTTTTTATTTTTCTAAAAAAGTGCTAAGTAAAAGGAGCAGAAATTACCTTCTCTTGATGGTATTTCCACAGTGCTTATAGGGAGTGACTTTATAGATAACAAAACATCAGGCATGATGGCTCCTAGTGCAGTTGTGCGGAATTCTGTGGGGGTGAAAACCATCCTTGGTTTGGAGGCAATTTGTTCAAGTTCAGTACGATCAGCATTTCGGGCTCCCACAGCAAAGACCACAATGCCATTCCTTTTCATTTCTTGTGCTGGCTGGACCACATCATCTCTGGACACACCCCCAGTGATCAGAATCACCATGGGTGGGACGCCTTCATCAGTCCTGCTCCCAACAGCGCTGGTGAAGAAGTTGTTTTTAACAAACCTCAATGCTGAGCCTGTATTAAGTGTAGCACCACCGACTGGTTTCATTTTCTTAACATTGTTAGTGATATCTTTTTTCAACTGGAAGCTATTAAAATAAATTTCTGGTCTTACAGTATCTGCATATTGTGCCACTGCAACTTGAATCAGATCTGGTCCGACTTCCATTCTGTGGATGGTTTTGGAAACGAATTCACGAATTGCATTAAAGGGGGCAAGTCCCAAGGCAGTAGAACCATCTATCAGGAAGACTATGTCCCTCTTATTGACTTCAACCACTGTAAGCAACAATATATATGCAGTCAGTGGGCTTCCTTATTCAACAACACTAATACATTGTGAATCAGTGCAAGCATTGTTAAACGATCATTTCTATTTGTTGTACAAGGCATTTCATTTACTTGAATTGTCATGTTGAGTTATATTGAAGCATAATTCAAATATATTCAATCTAACTTTATGGTTATGATTTTTTTGCACTTCAGTATTTCTGTTTAAAATTGATGCATAATATTCATGGAACTACATTTTTCTGGCTTTGCAGTAGAATAAAACCAAAACCTCTAAAATCCCCTCTCCCCTCCCACTTCCCCGCATGGAAAGAAAAAAAGAAGAGAATTAAACAAACATTAGCAGCAGCCAAACATACCTAGATCTAAAACCTGCAGGAAACCATAGTCAGTAGGTGAACAGATTTGTGAATGAGCACTCAATTCCAAGAATAATTTAAAGGAATTTGATTCTATCTTGGTGATTTTCCCATTAAAAAAATAAATAAGATTAACCTATCACCTGAAAATGACATGGTAATGAACCCTCACATAGAGTAGCAGAGAAAGCTTTATTACTTGTAGGACCATTTACTCCCATACAAAATGCCCCATAGAGCTTCCACAGGGATCCTTTTGCCCATCAACAAGAATTTCCATTTTTCCATGAATGTGGAACAATGTGCTGCTGGAGGTTAGGCTTGCTCATCACTCTCCTTCCCTGTTACGTTTTAGGATGGGGCTGAATTTTTTTTGGGGGGGGTGTTAAATATAGTTTTAATTGCTATATTTAATTTTATTATAGATAGAGGTTTGTATGTTATCTTAGGGTTGTCAACATGTAAATGTTTAAATAAATAAATAAATATATGTCTAAAGCAGAGTGAACTCAGCACTCAGGAGAAGAAACTAATTACCTATTGGCATCTATAAAACATGAATATTATAGATATGTGGTTGAGGCTAGACACATCTAGCCCCAATTGAAGAATAACTCAGGAAGTTATTAAGGAAGTTCTTGAGATGGTAGTAGCAAGTCAACTACAGAGTACCCTAGATGAAGCAGATTATTTGGACCCTCTTCAGTCCAAACATAGTGATGTAGGAGATAATAGTCAGGCAAACAGGAATCTGACTCAGCTATGAAATTCACATCAATCACTTTTGGCAAGTCACCATTGTGCCAGAAGTTCTATCTTCCAGGGCTGTAAGAGAACTAATAGAAAGATTCAACTATCAAGCAGACCTAAACGTTTTGAGATGATGGGTAGAGTAACTACTGTACTTGGAAGGAGGATAACATGCAACTTTCCTGTTTCACACATATAGTTCATTTGTCCAGCACAAAAATTAGGTAAACACTCAAGAACTTTGTCTTTCACAATCTTAAGGGCAGGTTTAATTTTTAGAGCTACATTATTGCCATAAAATATTGCATATTGTCCACAGTTATTCAAAAAGTCATTTAATTTAATTTTCAGAAATTATATGAATACAATAAATGTCTGTATTTTTGGACCCTTTCCTCTTCTGGTTCCTTCATGGGGCCATGGGCTGTCAGTACAACCCCTCCTGAGGGATCCTTCCTGGGTGGATATGGGGTATTAGATAAGTATCACCTGGTCTCCAACCTTCCCTTTGGGAAGTGCCCTACTATGAAGTACCCTAGATGAGGCAGATTATCTGGACCCTCTCCAATCATTTGCAAGCCTGGTTATGGGACAAGGACAGCATTAATCTCTATTTTTGATTATCTCTATCAGGATCTGGATAAGGGAAGTGCATCTGGTCCTTTTAGATTTCTCAGTGGCCTTTAATATTGTATCTTGCTGGATCACTATGGGATTGGAGATTGGAGTCACTGTTTTGCAAGTGTTCTGCTCCTTCCTTAGCAAGTGGTTTCAGTTAGTGGTGGAGCAGGAGGAGGGTCAGCACAGTAGCCCCTACTCTGTGTGATTCCAGAGGGCCTCTTTCCCGTGCACTTTAATACCTAAATGAAGCCATTGGTTGTCATCCGTCTGTTTGGGATGCAGTATCGTCAGTATGTGGGTGATACTCAACTATGTTGCCACCCCAGGCTATAGAGGAAATGCTGTTGATTCCTTTCCTGGTGTTTGGAGGCTGTCAGGGTCTGAATGAGACAGAACAGGCTGAAACTAAACCAAGACAAAACAGAGGTAGTTTGTCCATCAAGGCTCTTCATTGATCCCAGTGTTATCTCTGAATGGGTAGGCACTACCCATGACTTGAGGATCCTTCTAGATTCACCCCTTCAGCTAGTCTAGCAGATGGAGGTCAAAGCTAGAGGGGCTCAGCTTTGTTTGGTGTACCAGTATTTGACACAAGAGGATTTTGGTCCAGTGACTTATGCTCTTACTCCCACCCAGTTAGACTGTTGCAACACGCTTTACATGGGACTGCTTTGAAAGACAACTCAGAAATTACATGTCCTCCGGAAGGCAGTGGCTCATGTGCTAACCAGCACCCTTCACACCTACAATATGGACGCCACCCTGGCTGTTGATTAGCTTCTGGGTGCAATTTAAAGTGTTAGCTCTGACCTATAAAGCCCTTTATGGCTTGGCACTTGGCTGCCTACAGGACCACTTGCTCCAATCAGAATCAGACTAGGGAATAACCATTCCTAGTGCCCCACTTCCAGGAGGAAGTTGAGACCAGAGTGATGCTTTTCAGTGGCAGCACCAGTCCTCTGAAACAGCCTCTCTATGAAGAGAATGTTGGTTCAGAAATGTGCTAGAAGCAGAATTGTTCCAGAGGACATTCTAACCAGATTGAGCTGTTCCATCTCTGAGTTATCATGTTATTTTTACTGAGTTTTAATGCCTACTCTGGAAGTTTTAAATTGTTTACATTGTGTTAATGGCTGAGGATCATTTGATTGCAGCAGGATACAAATATAATAAATAAATACACAACATAACAAATATGCTTGGGACAAAAATGTTGAAAAATGGCTCCTTTGCGCTGGTTCAGACATAAATCTAGTTCTCACTGAAACGAGAGGCTTATGCCTGGGACACATCACATGGTGCTGCAGGGGAAAGCACCCCCATTCCAAAAACTCCCTGCATGAAGAAACAGGCAGGACAGTGTATTTACATGAGGTGAACATAAAGATGTTTGCTCAGTAGAGTATAATCCTGCACTTGTAAAAAATTGTCAAAGTAATTGTTCATATATTTACCAAGAAAACTCCTTTACTACTCCTTAGTAGAAGTATTTATTCCAGCTAGAGAATAACTGTAGAGCTGGTTTGTTTATATCTAGATTAATATAACTGGATATTCTTTATGAGAAATTCTGCATTCCAACATAATTTGAAAGTCTAGTTAGAGATCTAAAGAATTCTTCTATTGTAATAAAAAAATAGATATTTCACATGTGCTCCATTATAAATTATACCAAACCATAAAGACAGGCCACTCCTATTTTCCTAATCCAGACATCCAGAGGGGAAATCTTAACATTCTCAAAGGCCTGCCAGGTGATCTGAAGAGGTTGGAAAGGGAGAAGGAGTAGCTTTTTCTACCCGACTTGCCTTTTTAAAAAAAAACAAAATCCTCCCTTTGCGCCTAGAACTGTCTGTTTCCCTGGGTTGGAAACAGGGCTTTGGGTTGGGTCCCTCCCTTTCATTCTCTTCAGATATCTGAAGTGCAATGTTCAGCTTGAAGGAATAGAGAGACAGAGGTATGAAACAGAGATTCCAGATTGAAAAAGAGCAGGTTGTTGAACCCATCACCAGGACACTGATGCCTGCCATTTTTCAATCTGGAATCTCAGTGACAGGAATGATTGCTAAGAGTTTCATTCTATGAGCTGCTTTTATCTTTCAGATCCTGCTATTCCATAGCAGATCTGATATACAGCAAGCACATTTTAAATTGCAGTGGAACTGTTATTTAATTCTAGAATGCCAAGATTATACTAGGCAAGGATCTGGGAAAGTTGAGATCCTGAGACTCCGAGTACAGGAGGAACCTAGAGCCTGCTGGCTGGGAAATTCTAGGAGCTGAAGTCCACACATCTGCCAAGTTTGAAAAACACTGACCTAGAGGAAGCCAAAAGTTAGTACCTGGTATATAAAAAGGTGGAGCCTTTTTGATGGAATGAAATAGAAAACCCAGGCTGACTTGTATGTGTGGATTAAACAAACATCACTGCTAGACATGGTGTCCCTTGATATATGTGTAAATGCATGCATTGTGTAGAATGAAGATAAACAATTTTGAGACAAGCAAAGATTTCCCCCTTGGTTATCATCCCTCCCTCTGAACTTTTATTCTTTCCCTTAAAAAAACTAAGAAGGTAGATGAGTTCCTGAATTTCAGGCAAAACTGTTAAGATTGGCAGTGCCATTTGGAATTTGACAGTCCTGCTCATGTTTGTGGTCATGGTAGTGACAATAGTAGTAACATCACTACTATTTCTTAGTACATTTTTTAAAATGGCTTACCATAAAGACTGAAAACTGAAAACAAATTTGTCATTTATAATACAAGTAAGCTAAAATGAGCACTCTAAAGCAGATGATGCAGTAAAAACCACACAATCAGGCTGCCCTAAAATAAAATAAAACAAAACAAAACTCAGAGAGATAGCCTTCCAAGCAAGTAAGTATTCTGAAGCTATAGTAGCTCTACGGAGAAGACTCTACTTTTTCAGATTACATAACAGCAAGGCCTTCATAGGCTGATATTAATTTCCTTTCAGAGTTTCCCAAAATTAGATGCATGTACCCAAATCTCATAGGGCTGTAAAGAGATAAAACCTCTATTTTTTTTATTGGATCTGGAATCCTTGTGGTAGTCAGTGGGGCAGACAAAGCAATACAATTATAAGTTCTGACCTGCAGATGCCAGAAGATATTCTGGCAAATGCGTTAATAAGCAAACTTTTCAAATAATCTTCAAAGGCAGCCCCCAAAGTGGAATGCATTGTGATAATCTAGCCTAGTATGTTTACTCCAAGAAAGGGTGACACTCCATTGGTGAATGAGCTGAAACTGAAAAAAGATGTTTTGCCCTCCCTGGGCATCCAGGGAAAATAATAGTTCCAAACGAACAGATGTGCTCTTTTAGTGGAAATGGAAACATAATTGTAATAGATTTAACTTCTCAGTCTTAGATCACCAGTACCTTTGATCTACAGAATCTCCATCTTGGCTGATTGGTTAATCCTCATTCATCCCTATACTTCAGAATAGAGTTTGTTTCTGTAAGAAAACAGAATACAAGCTCTCTTGCTTAGCAGAAGCCTAATGCTACCCAAGTAGCATCTTCTAGTAGAAGTGGGGAAAACTCTTACTTGAAATCTGGAGAGCTTTCAAGGTGGTGGAAGGGGATGCTGTGGGTGAATGAATATGCTGTGGAATTAAAACTTCCATTTTGTGAGTGGAAATCATATCATGTAATATTAGAGATGCATTTGCACATAACACTTACTGTTAACCATAGGCAAGAGGCTTACTCATAGTTGGTAATCCAGACATAAGCATCTACCCTCAACCCCATCTTTTCTACCATTCTCAATCCTTAATCTACTAAGAGAACTATCAAAACCAATAAAGTTCCATATAAGAGCACAGATAACTAAATGAAAGATAACAGTTCATTAAAAATACGTACCTTCTGTAAGAATGGTTGGGGCATCTAACAAAATGAGTCTTTGGGCCACTCCAACAATGTTTGGCAGTAAGAGTTCTTGAAGTTCACCAAGGTTACGTGTATCCAGGGCAGTAAATACGAAGCTTGCATCAGTAGCAATTTGCTGAAGCTCTGCATTGTCAGCATTTTGGACCCCAATGCTAAATGAGAATATACTAGCTTGCTTCATGGCTAAAACTCCTTCTCTTACGTCATCACTAGACTCAATGCTACTTATGAGCACTAAAATCTGTGGCACACCCTCCTCTATCCTGCTGCCTCCTGAGCGGGTGAAGTGGTTTTGCATCACAAACTCAAGAGCATCCCCAATATTAGCTTCCTCGCCACCAAGAATGCTAAGGGCCTTCACTGCATCTAGAATATCAACTTTTTGGGTGTAGCTGTTCAAGGAGAATACAGTTCTGGGTTGATCACTAAACATCACCACCCCAATGCGTATGAGCTCAGGTCCAACTGAGAGTCTTTCAATTAAATTTGCAATGAAATCACGAATGGCTGAGAAAGTGACAGCGCCGTTCTTTGATCCGTCAATAAGGAAAATAATGTCAGCAGATTCTTGTGCTTGAAAAAAAGAGAAATGCAACAGGTGAAAGCATTAAACCAAGTGAATCCATGCAAGTTGAATAGTGTTCTGACATGTTTCTTTGGAAACCAGCAAGAAACACGAATATGAAGGGAAAAAACACATGATGGTCAAAGTCAATGAAACTTGCCCGTCAGTTCTGCATTCTGATTGAATATGAATGATGGAAAAATTAACCCAAGGACCATCTTTCCCACTGTACATTCTAGTAAATCACTATGTTTTGCAATCACAAGTGGGCCACTCTCACTCACATCAAAATAGAATGAGGCTCTAACACAGCCTCATCATTGGAGAAATATGAATTTTGTATGTGGAGGGGAAAGTTGTTTTCTTTTATGAGCCAGCACAGGCACAGTGCTTTCTTGCGCTACATTTTCAGTCATATGTAGATCAGGATTTACTCCTCACACCCACAAAATGTGGCAAAATACAAATGGGAAATGTTCTTCATTCTGAAATTAAAGATGGAACAGAACTAAGAAACAATTAAACTTGGAATCCTCCACACAATTACTTCAAAGAAAGTAATCAGAGAAAAATGCATAGGATTGCATGGCAAATGAAGCAATCACGCATCTGTTTTCAAAATGCAAATTTGAGTCAAGCGGATAATGATAATAAATGTTATGGAACAATAGTAAAATTCTAGGGAGCTAAGAAAAAATATTTTTAAAGCACAGAAAAGCCTTTAAGGAACTATCATGTTAAAAATGTAACTCTTCAATAAAGGATTCTTTGGGAACTGGGAACTGTACTCATAAAATTTTATGTTTCAATGTATTAAAGAATTAAATAAGTAGTTTATTCAAAGGCCATATAACTCATATATATAGAGTCCCTTGGTATATTTTCTGTATCTTCAAAAGATGATTAGATTCTATTTGTCTCTATATTTTCTAAATATAATCTACATAAAGCCGAAGTGCAAAAGAATAGAAAGTAAGCATATATAAGTATGCTTGCAGGTGTCATTTATGGGAATACAACTTTAAAATTATCTTTACAATAAAAATGTACTTCTGATTTTATTGTTCACATATTACCACTGGATATTCAATCAAGTAATGCAGAATCATGTTAAAACAGAGTGATAAATCCAGTCATAACAGAATTATCCAACCATATACGCTATGCCTGTTTCTGGAATCGCAATAGCAGAACCTGATAATTGCACGGAGAATGTGTTCCTCAACTGAGAAGATGGGTTTATCACAGGATTATGATCATGTGGATTACCCATTTCAGTCTCTCAAGTTGGCTAGAATCTATAGTTATATCCAACTACTCTACAGTATTTCTGCTTGCTTGTGGAATGGGACCACTGCTGAGTTTATTTCTTCCTCCCCCTTGCATAAGCCTGTGCCCCCGTCACTCAGGAAGTCTGGGAAAGCCTGCAGAGCCCATTAGAGGAAAGCTGTAGGGCTATGCAAATGGGAGAAAGGAGAGCAATGAGAAACCTAGTCTATGGAAGTAGCTACATGGGATAGCTCACATAGTCTAGTTGCCTAAACTCATTTATCACCTAATCCTGTATTAACTACTCTGAGTCCTTTCAGTCAAAAGCAAATACATTTAAGCTTTGTTCAGAATTCCCTGTTTATTATTTTAATAATCAAATTCTTAGCCATAGATTCTTCTCGGTACTATACTTCTAAAATTTTAGCATGTTGAATTTATTACTTTTCATAATATGGCCTAGGAATATACATGCAATGAATGCATATAAAGAAAGGACTTATAAAGATGTGTTTGTTTCTTCTTTCCAGAAACTTTTATATAACCTAACTTTAACTTGTAAGGACCAGTTTGAATATAAAGAGACTCTCTCATTCCTTCTAAGCATGATATCTGATACAGGTGTAGCTCGAAGAACAGTCACATCTCCATGTCCCTTTTTAACTATCGTCCCTAATGAAGATTTCTTAGAAACTCAGAAAGTTTGGAAAACTTCAAATTGGCCTAATTTTTCTTTTTAAATGTTTTAATAGAGTTTCTATTAAATACTGCAAATTGCAAGGAAACAGGAAGACAGTATATATAATTGTTGGATAATTTGCCACTGCTGAAGAATCCCATTATAACAAAGAATACAATGAAGGCTTAAAGTATCAGTGAAAAGCAGATTAAAGCATGCTTTGTTAGAGTTTCATAACAGCAAAGGACTGATGGCTTAAAATGGAAACGGTAACTAAGGCAGTGTGTAATACATACCAAGGCAAATTCAAGGTTAAAGTTTCCAATTACGCTAAGCATACTGCTGAAGATTAAACACTTGTAGGTACTAGGATAGCCAACATCTCTTCCACTGTCCATTTGAAAATGGTTGATTGTAGTATTTAATAGGGGGGTGTTGTTAAATTCACAAGGTTGTCATTTCAGCTCATGCAGAGAGTAACTAATTAGCCAACATGTTAAATTCTTGCAATACACCTATTTATTGCTAGGAAAAAAATATTTCTTCATATTATTGTTGGCACAGGTAACCGGCGTCATATTTGAATGCATGTGGAAAGAGGCATCCATCTTTAGAACAATCACTTGGTGTTGTTATTTTTGTATCCTATCCATTTTGAGGATAATTGACACCTTAAAGCGTTGAAACAGAACTCTGCCTACAGAGTAGCAAGTGTGCTTAGGAACTCTTGATAAGTTATTGCCTCAAGGTGGCACGTCCAGTCCATGAGTCTTCTGTTCACAGGAAGGCTAACTAAGAACTCTTGCGCAGCATCTCCTGAAGCTCGCAGAGCACTAGTTCACTGAGGGGAGAGACCAATTGCTGGACAGCAGAGGCCCCAAGGTAGGTCCCAAGATGGCTATCAGGAGAGCGACTGCAGGGAAGATAAGTATGCATTCATCCAATAATAAGCCTTTCACATCTTGGCCCTCTTAGCTCTCTAAGGATACTTAAAATAATGCATCTTCCCCTCACTCCACCTTTTTTGCAATGTGATTCTTTACGTTAAAATCTGCTTTAAAAGTTAGGAAAATCCTCCCTGTAGGTAAAATTTGTACAGATTTCTTGGGTAGGCTTTTTAAAAGTAAGTTTTACTTAAATAGATGGCGATAAAATGAAATAGCTTAGCAAAGTATTTCCTGATTTCCTCTATGAATCTCATTATTTGCCCTATTTGTGAAAACATTTGGCTGTGAATCAGGCAAAAACATAACTAAGCCAAAGTGAGAAGTTAATAAAACAAGACATGTTTTATGTACCCTATTTTTTTGCAACATAATTCCTTTCATGTATTCCAAGGTATAAAAACAAAGGTCTGAGAACGCAGGATTGCAGAATAATCATTGGTATATTTAAATCAATAAGATTTCCTGCTCTGTTTTATCATTTTCACTAATCAAATGAAACAGTTTGCATTCTAGAGAGATTATTTCCTCCCCCTCTTCTTCTGTTTAATGGGGGGGGGGGCACAGGAGGTTTCCTTTCTACGTCAGTCTGCTGCACAGCTGGGAGGGAATGACTTCTGGTCCCCTTTCTCCTCTTTGTCCCTTTGTGTGTCCAGGAGGACAGAGATTACTACAAAGTTGGGGAGAGGCACAGCCTAAGGAGAATGGCAGGGAAATCCCATCTAATGGCAGAAAGATGTTTATATGAAGGAAACCTTTGCTTTTAACCCTTTGAATGGGCAATTTAGGGCTTTTCTAGGCAATTCTTCTTATAGCTAAGGAGAAGCTAATCCCACAATTAACAAATTGCAAAATATTGTCAAAAAAAGGTGTTCTCTTCCAGATAAAGGCAGATATCTTATTCCTTGTGTCCTCCATGCCATTTTGTAAAATCTTAAAATACTGTATGTTACAAATGCTATAACTGTATAATTTTATTTGTCTGGATATTACACACTTCCTGACAGGAGCACTCAAGCATCCAAGCCTGGAATAATTCATGCAGTGCTTTTAAAAAAACCTCACGGTGATGAAAATATTTGCAACAATATTCTGTTCTGTGTTTCTTTCCCTCATCTTCTTTCTTTCTTTCTTTCTTTCTTTCTTTCTTTCTTTCTTTCTTTCTTTCTTTCTTTCTTTCTTTC